ATGAGGTTTGAAAATAAAAATACAATATTTGAGATTTGACCTCGAACGTAAATTTTAAATTCACTCAATCACTAAATCAATCTGTAATTTCAGATTGAAGAGGTATATATATATATATATATAGATAGATAGATAGATAGATAGATAGATAAAAAGAGAGATTAATCTTTCGAATATCGTTATATCATAAAAAACTAATTTAATACACAAAGCATCTCACTTTCACGTAAAATTTGAAGAGTTATTACTATATTTAATGACGTTTTAAATAAATAGCCTATCATAATACAAAGTTGTTGCTTCAAATATCTTCAACAGAGATCACTTGAATATTGAGAGGACTTTTTCTTTTTATTTTTGCAATAATTATAACAATTACTATTATTATTGTTATCATATATTTCTAGGTTATAATAGCATGACTTATCATTGCGGATATAATGGTTAGATGCTTTGGAACAAGTCACCCTTATTTCTTTTTCTACTTCTCCATTAAATTTATCAATTTTTAATTTTTCCCCTTTTCTTAAAAAATAAATTAATGAGTAAAAAGTTTTTTTCCCACTTAAAATTCCAAGTGCACCTTCTTTAAAAAATTATATTTCAAAAATTAATTTAAAATTTTTAATTAAAAATAATCGAGATAACAAAAAAAATATATATATATATATATAGTGCATCAACCACAAGCTCTTTTCTAGTGTGGCTTACGCATTAAAGCGTACAAGCGAGAGGATGAGCAACTCACACTTTAGTAGGGCCATCTTCGTCATTTTATTTTTTTGTCTTTTATTTCTTTTTATTTCTTTACGTACACTAGAAGGTAATTATAATAATAATAATAATAATAGCAATTTAAACCTTTCGGTTGAGAGAATTTACTTAAATTTGTTCTTTTATTTATCTAATACTTTCATTAATATGCTAATTAAAATCACTAGTTCATTTACAAATTATATTTTGGAGATCTTTTAATAGCATAGTTAGAATTACGTAAATATTAACTATATTAATATTAATTATTTCATCTTCAATCTAACATGAGATAAATGATCGATTTCCTCATACCTAGATAATACATATATTAATTATGTGAATATTTAAATTAAGCCAAAATTCATATTAATTTAAGCATAAATAACTTACTTCTCGATAGCTAGCAAATGTTTACCAAACCCTTTTCAGATTCTTAAACATAAAAATTATATAGTTAATTGTTATACTTTTTTTTAAAAAACTTTTATTTGTGTACTTTTTTTTACTTTACGTGACACTATCACTAGAGTGATAAAGTAATTTCTATGCTTAATTACCATAGTTTTTCGAGTTCAAATAATACTCATTCTTATTACTCGTCTTTGTTAGAAATTAGTATTACAGGATGAGAAATAAAAAACATATACTTGCCTAGTTAATAAATTTTTCTTTATATACACATCTTTAATATTCATGAAAGATATGCCATATTTTATCTAGTTATTACTACACAATATAATATAATAAAAGTACAATACAATATAACACAAGTACAATATATTCAATACATTACAATACAATATAATATATTTATATTACATTATGTATATGAACGATCCAACAAAGTGTAAACATCATTAACACGAGAATCTGGTGAACTAAGACTTCCATACCTTGTTTGGGAAGTTGTTATCTGTTGTATGGTAATATACATTATGAGATAATACATAACAATCAATACAACGATATATTATGATGCAGAAGTTAACACTCATCCTAACAAAGTGTCAAACGTAATGACTAAGCTCGTATGCTTTATGAAAAATGTTGTCTTGTCTTCAAACATACCACCAAACTAAACCTATGCCACTTCATATTCGAGTAGAGTGCGGAGTTAAAACGGTAAAAAAAATTGTCAAAAATTCCAAAAGGGCATATCAATTTCTTTTAAAACTAAAACGGTAAAAACGCTAGCGACTTGTACTCTCAAAGAGTGAAATCGCTGCAATAGCAGCGATTTCTTAAAATTGCCTTTTCTTTTTTTCAAAAAAAAAAATTAAACAAATCGCTCCACACGGAGCGATTTTCAAAATAAAAAATAATAATTTTTTATATAAGTCGCTGCAGAAGCAGCGACTTCCATCAAATTTTTTTAATTTTTTTTTGCTTTATTTAAAAAAAATCATTGGCAGCGATTTTTAATTAATTTTTTTTTAAAAAAAACTTATTAAAAATCGTTGCCAATGATTTTTTTTGAAAAAAAAATTGAATCAATTTTTCTTTTAAATAAAGCAAAAAATAAATAAAAAATTGATGGAAGTCGCTGCATATGCAGCGACTTATAGAAAAAAATTATTTATTTTTAATTTTGAAAATCGCTCCGTGTGGAGCGATTTGTTTAATTTTTTTTTTAAAAAAAGGCAAATTTAAGAAATCGCTGCTATTGCAGCGATTTCGCTTTTTCATAAGTTACAAGTCGCTACATCGTGAGCGATTTTACCGCTTTTTCATAAAATGAATTCTTAATTAACACATTTTTTGCTTTACACTTAATTTTTTATTTTTTTTGAAAACTTAATTTAATCGTCTAATTTTTTTTTGCAGCAATTTAATTGATTTTTTTAAAATATATATATAAATTTAGTGTAAATCTCTGCCTTTACAGCGATTTAATTTTTTTAAAAAAAAACTAATTAAAAATCGTTGCCAATGATTTAAAAAAAATTGAATCAATTTTTCTTTTAAATAAAGCAAAAAAAAATTAAAAAAATTTGATGGAAGTCGCTGCAGAAGCAGCGACTTATAGAAAAAATTAATTAATTTTTTATTTTGAAAATCGCTCAGTGTGGAGCGATTTGTTTATTTTTTTAAAAAAAAAAGAAAGAAAGAAAAGACAATTTTAAGAAATCGCTACTATTGCAGCGATTTCGCTTTTTCAGAAGGTACAAGTCGCTAGCGTTTTTACCGTTTTGGTTTTAAAAGAAATTGATATGCCCTTTTGGAATTTTTGACAGTTTTTTTTACCCTTTTAACTCCGCACTCCTTCATATTCCTTCATAATTCACGTATAAATAGATTCGTATTATTATAAAAGTGATTTATATATATTTGAAAATATAATTTTAATCAAAAAGACTCACACTTTGGCAGGACCCATCTTTGTCATTTGATTTTGTCTTTTTTTTTTCTTTTTTAATATGTATTACATTACTTACACTAGCAGATATTTTTGTATATTAGGCCTTTACTCTATAATAGTAGCAATTTTAACTTTCGGTTGAGAGAATTTAGTTAAGCTTGTTCTATTCTTTATCTAATCTTTTGGATTGATATGGTAATTAAATTCATTAGTTCATTGAGTAGATAATTTTATGTAAATATTAGCTATTTTTCTTTATTTGGGTAAGATAATATTTTGATTTTTATATATAAATAACTTACTTTCTAACTAGCTAGTAACTATCAAATATCGTATAACTTGAAAAAATATAGATTAGTGAGTTATCTCTTTACTGTCTATAAAACGACCCTCAATATGCATGGGTTATTTGTGTAGTCCTTTTTTCACTTTATGTGATATTAAAATTACTTGCTTAGTTAAATGAAATTTTCTTTAATGGGTACGTTAACTCCAAAAGATAAATACAAACTATTAACGATGTGTTCATTATAAGTTCTTTTAACTTTTACAAGTTTGGTTTGTTAAATATATAAATTCTTTTTTTTTAACTTGTGTTTTTTAAAATGAGAAAAAATGACTTTTCAAATAAAATATAAAAATCTAATTTTACACGTGATATTTCAAATTAATTATGTCTTTCGCACTCTAACAACACGCTTTTTATCTTCACTCTTAGTCTAATAGCCCTTATCCACACCCCATTCCAACTCTCCAATACTATAGAGTAATATTTTGTTTTCACTACTTGGATTCACACGATGTAGCTATTGGAATTTGGAAGTATAGAAAAAGAAAATAGAGAATTATAAACGTAAGTTGCTTATGAGATACACATAGCATCTTATTTAAAGAAATAAAAAATGTAAAAGATCTCAAATAAGTTTTTTATAAGCAAATCAATATTCCATATTTTGATAACATAACTTTATAATAAAGAATTTAAAGTTGGAATTTCTTCTTTTAGGAGTTTCCCAAACTTCAAATTTCTCTATTTTAAGTTTTCCACTCACAAATTACTATTTTCTTTTCAAGTAAAATTCACATGCTAACACAGTTTAAATTTCTCCTTTCTTTATGAAATAATTGAAAAACTCACAATATTGAGAATTTAATTACTTAGTATATGAATATGTCTTTTAATTTAATTTTAGTAGATATTTATATTTTTTATTTTTAAGTTTGTACAAATAAATAAATAGACACTACCTTAAAGCCAAATAGAATATGTACCTACTTGCTCAACTCTATATAAATTTAAGTGTATATTAATGCACACCTAATAAATGAGCTAAAATTATCGTTGAGGAGATTAATATGCTAAATAATGTCGTACAAAATTTCAAGCGAAAAATATTGAAAAATGTTGCTAACCAAATTCAAACCCATCCGCCTACTAGTTTCTGAACCACAGTCGCTCTAACAAAGTCATTTACTTGTGTTGTGGCACGTGAGAGTTTAATGTTAAACATATAAACATAAAAAACATATATACACACGATATAATCGTTTGGTTCAGGGTTTCGAGTGAACCTTTTTAGTCCATATAAATTTATCTCCGTGCACATTCTTTTAATTTTGAATATACACAAATAAATGCTTTAATTTGTGTAATATTGCACAAGCAAACATATACATCTTAAATAACATAATATATGTAAAATAATACGCAAAATATCGTGTAAAACATGAATTGTCACGTAAAAAATCAAATAGAACTTATATATCTACTTATACAGAGATATGCCATGTAAAATAACACTTCTAAGTTGATGTGTTACATGATTTTTCCATTTTTTTAAATCTAAACTTAAACCAAATTAAAGTAAAATAAGAAGTAAATAATCCCGGAAATTACGACTACAAAAAAAAAAAAAAACTACTACTCTAAAAGAACACTTCTCCAGTCAACCGATTCTCCCAATTCACTAATCTTCAAACCCTAGGTTTCCTCTGTAATGGAGTCGCCGCCGCCGCCGCCGATGAAAACCACGAAGCGCAGAGCAGCAGCAACAACGTCAATTACTGGATTAACCATTGATAATTCAGTTCTTCCTATAGAATTAATAGTTGAAATACTCATAAGATTGCCTGTAAAAACATTGCTGAAGATGAGATCTGTTTCAAAATCCTGGAGTTCTCTCATCTCAACTCCCGAATTTGTCAAAGCACATGTAAAATTTTCAGCCAATAATCGAGAATTTGCTCACCACAGGCTTCTTAGTATCAGGTCAGGTACTCACACTCACGACGACGGACGTACTAGTAGATGGAAAAATTTCCGCACATATTCTCTTAATGCAATCCTGTATGGAGAATCTCCCTGTTTACCTGTTGAGCTTCATAATTTTGGTATAAGTTATTATGTTTTGTGTTCATGTGATGGATTGTTCGTTATTTCAAAAACCTGGTATAATAATGACATTGAGGATCTGTTTCTATGGAATCCGTCTATTAGAAAGTTGAGTAAACTTCCTTATTCAGGAATTGATGTGTTCAATCGTAGATTTGCTTATGGATTTGGTTATATTGAATCTCAAAATGATTACCATATTGTTGAAATTGTGGCAAGTAAACCTAGTTATCTCATTGCTGATATTAGTGTTTATAGTTTAAGAAATAATTCGTGGAAAACCATTCATGAGTTCCCAAGTATCTCTTTGCCTGAAAATGTTAAATTTATTAAAGGAAAGTTCCATTGGATCACTGGTGGTGGTAGTGGTAGTAACGCGACATGGTTCAACCCCGGAGATGAGGGGTTTGGCAATGTAGCATTGCCGAACCCAAGTGGTGACACTTGTAACTGGAAATTAGTGTCTTCATCTGGTAATCTATGTATGACTTGTGACTATAGAAACAAGACAGATGTGTGGATAATGAAGGAGTATGGACTTGCAGAGTCGTGGACTATTGTGGGTTCGATCCCTAAATTTGTAAATAAGGTGGTTTGGCCGATATTCATCTCTCATAATGATGAAATTCTATTGCAAGACGTTTCAGGTTTAGTGTGGTGGTATGTTTCACGAGATGATGACAGTGTTGATCGTCCTGAGGATCAAACACGTTGTGAATGTGACCGTGGAAGCGAGCTTAATCTATATGTAGAAAGTCTTGTTTCGCCAAATTCTCCTTGAAAAGCGAAAAGCTATGGATTGAGGAGTCTATTGAGGTAAGAAATGGTACCCCATCCATTTCTCAGTATGATATGTAAATAGACAACTCTTGTAGAATAATTGTGATTATCTTTCTTCTTGTTGTTGTTTTCCATGTTGGTGCTATTTAAACTCTGAAATATAAACTCTGTTGTGTCCAGTTTTTCATATCCTGTCTCAATTTTTTGCCAATAATAAATCTCTTCAAGTGTATCGAAGATAGCTATCTCGTTAGTGAATCCAGATGGTGCTCATATGTAATAAAACGAGACAATTGATACATAAGCATGTAAAAACAGGAATAACAAAGTGGTTGAAGTTTGGTTCAACACGAAGAGTCTAGAATCCATCGGGAATAGTCTCTCTCCGGCACAAGGTAGGGATAAAGTTTGTGTACACCCCTTAGATCCACCATGTGGGATCATAGTGGTTATGTTGTTATTGGTGTTGAGGATGAGTCATACATGTTAGAGAGTAATGAAAGAGCACCAATGTAGCTAGCAAGTTCAAAGCTGAAAGCTTAATAGGGGGACTCGAACAAGACTTCTCATTAATAATGAAAGAATACTTACCATTTCACCATAATTCTTGTTGCAAATATCAAATTATTATGTTCAATAGAACTCGGACAGATAAGAAAAATTAAAATATTAAAGCCCACTGCTGCAATTGTAAGAAATTTAGAATATACCCATACTGGTTTTAAAAATGGGCCAAGACTAAATTTTAGTACTAGGATGTTTATGTGGTCTCCAATAAGACTGGTCTTTGGACTCTACAATTGATATTGGCCTGTTAGAACCCTTGAGATTTCATGTTGATTCTCCTTTGGGCTTTTTATCCAGTCCTGTGTGGATTTCTCCTCAATTTTTATTTCTCTATTTATGTTACAGTGTTTAATTGAACAAGAAAGAAGGAAAGATTTTTGAAATACGTGATCTAAAACAAATCTAGACAACTAGACGTTCTCGATATAAATTATCTTATCAAGACTAAAATTTGAAGTTTTAAGTTAAATTGTTTCTAATAAAACATTTTTTTCTGAAACAGACTAGAAAAAAAATATGATAAGAACTAGGACTGTTCAAAATCGAATCGAAATTGATAAGCCGAATCGATAAAAAAGTTATTGATTTATAGTATTGAGTTATTGGTTTAGTGATTTTGATAACGATTTTGATTTTTTTTGTTATCGGGTTATTGGTTCTTAACGGTTTAAAGTTTTTTCTTAATAGGTTAACCGATAACCCGATAATTAATTTTCTACTTTTATTTTTAGTTGTCTCAAACACTTGATTATTCTACAAAGTAAAAGTGTTTGCTTTTGAGCAAGATGTAACTTGTGAACTCAAGTGCATGGTTTATTTGATTTGTCATTTTGTTTCAAAGTGATTTTCAATGTTTCTGCTTTTGTGTCAAATCTTAATGGTTAAATCGATAACCGAACCGATAACGATAAAAAACTGATAAATTAATAACCGATAAGCCAATATCTTAATGGTTCTATAACAATTTAGCATCTCTATAAATCGATAACCAATAAGCCAATCCGATAAACTTCAAAACCTAATAAAAACAGATAGAAAAATCGTATGCCTAACACGTCGCTTCTCATTTCAACTTTCTTACAAAATATCAAGCACTTGACATTTTAGAACTCTTAAAAAGAAAACAAATATGTCTAAGTCAAACTAAGATTATATTATCAAACCTTTTACGGCAAAAGAAATAAGCTAGTCCACGTATAATATAACAAATACATCTATTTCTATTATGTAAGAAGTGTATACATAAAATCAATAAAAATCTTCAACCAAGTCTATTAGGAGAACAAGTTTTAAATCAATGGTAAAGTCATTTTCGTAATACCTATAGATTATAGATTCGAGCTGTGAAATTAGTCGTTGATGCTTGCATAACTTTACCAAGCTGTTCAACTTTTAACTAATAGTCTATTTGGCAAAGCTTTCGGGAGGTCAAAAAATTTATTTGTTATTTTCGAAGGTGCTTTTATACATATGTAACTGCTTTTCAGAAGCTAAAAAGTAAATTTTTGTTAAAAACATTTTTTAGATAAATACAATTATAGTTTTTAAAAGTTTCATCAAACACTAATTATTCTTTAAAAATTTCTTGTCCCACAAATTATTTCTTATCAATTAAGAAAAAAATGGCCAAACAAATTACAAAGTTAATTACCTATCAAATTATGATTTTTATAAGACCCAAAGAAAATCACACATAAAAACAAAAGAAGCAAAAAATCTAGATAACTTGATATTCTCTTTATATATGTGGCTCCTATGTAACCAAAGTCTATCAAGTTGATTTTTATAGATACTCAATCCAATAGTGTCACAACCTCATATCAAACTACATTTCCATTTCTCCCTTTCTTCTAAACTTGACATCCCTCTTCCTTTTGTGGCTATTCTTGAAAAAAAAAATCTTTAATCTATGGCTACTCTCACAAATTTTTTGCTCAAACCCTCTCCAAATCTAGCTTCAATTACAAAAATTAGCCCTTCACTTTACTCCAATTTCCCTTTTGAGAAATCCAAACAATCAATTTTCAAGAACCTCAAAACAAACAAGCCCTTATTGATTACAAAGGCAACAGCAGCACCTGATGTTGAGAAAAAAGTGGCTAAAAGTGAAAGAGTACAAAAGGTTAATAGTATGGAGGAATTGGATGAAGCATTAAAAAATGCGAAAAATCGACTAGTTGTGGTTGAATTTGCAGGCAAAGATAGTGAACGTTCGAAAAATATTTATCCTTTTATGGTGAATTTAAGTAAGACATGTAACGATGTCGATTTCTTGTTGGTGATCGGAGATGAAACGGAGAAGACTAAGGCACTCTGCCGGAGAGAAAAGATTGACAAGGTAATTTTAGAAATTCACACGTATTATTACGTCTGTTTCAATTTATGTGACGATAGTTTAAAAAAATAATTACTTGTGGATCTTTATGTTACCTGCATTGAAATGGATGGAGATATACATGAAATATAACTTAATTAGTAAAAAGATTGGTGTATATCTAATATATATAATGGATTGAGTATGACTAGATCTAGCTTTCGATAAGAGGCGATTTCAATATTTAGACTTAGATCCATAGATAGGTTCAATTTTGAAATCATAACTTCAAAACTATAATATTGATTAAAATTTTAGCGATTTTTGTATCACTAAAAAGAAAGTGTGAATTTTATTTTTCTGTAAATTTTCATATTAATTCTCAGAAAATTCTCCATGTAATTCATAGTTTTTTTTGTAGTGTATATATTTCGCATTATAATACTAAGTATAGTGAATCCATATCAAAGAAAGCTACAACCCCTTCTTAAGATAATCTCTTTGATAACCAGATGTGGATCGAGTATTTGAAATTTATTGGTTCAAAACTTGAAGTTTATATGTATAATTTACTAAGTGAATTAAATATATAGAATGGGCTAAATTAGTTACTAGTTTCGATTGAACCCGTATTAAACACACTATGACCCTTACTATCTTGCTACAACTTCCACCCATATAACGTGCACGATCTGATAATAGTAGGGAAAAAGGTCTGATATATATACCCCTTAACTTTGTCATGAGCTGATATACCCCTCGTTATGAAAGTGACTCATATATAACCCTATTGTTATCAATTACGATCAAACTCAAAGATAAATGGAATATTTTAGCTAATATAAGCTCTCTTTTTTTCCCAATAGGTACCACATTTCAACTTCTACAAAAGCATGGAGAAGATCCACGAGGAAGAAGGCATTGGCCCGGACCAACTTGCCGGTGATGTACTCTACTACGGTGACAGCCACTCCGAAGTAGTGCAGCTCCACAGCAGAGAAGACGTTGAAAAGGTAATCCAAGACCACAAAATCGATAAAAAATTAATAGTCCTCGACGTTGGATTGAAGCATTGTGGACCATGTGTGAAAGTTTATCCAACAGTGATTAAGCTATCGAAACAGATGGCTGATACAGTCGTGTTCGCGAGAATGAATGGTGATGAGAATGATAGTTGTATGCAGTTTTTGAAAGACATGGATGTTATTGAAGTGCCTACGTTTTTGTTTATAAGAGATGGTGAAATTTGTGGAAGGTATGTTGGTTCTGGGAAAGGTGAACTTATTGGAGAAATTCTTAGATATCAAGGAGTTAGGGTTACTTATTAATATTGTTGAAGTCATATTATATACTTAATTGGGACATTTGATTTTGTGTTAAATGATTATGGACTAGTTAAGTGGGGAAAAAACCAAGTTGACTTGGTTGAGATTTAAGTTTTGGTATGTTTAGTTTGTAAAACTATGTTGTAAGTGATCAAAGATTGTCATGATAATTGATTTTGAATGAGAATGTTATTAGCCTTGATTTAGTTGAATCATTTAGCTTGAAATGATCTTAATTAAAGCGCGCGAAAAATCTTTAACTTAAAAAAATGTGAAGGATGGGAAGAGAGTGAAATATTATTGAGTTGGTGAGTTCTATCATTACATGACTCAACTAGAGCTCCTTCTTATGTTCTAGTCGAGTCATGTGATGATATTATATCGCAATAGGTAGTTAGGTGCTTATCGAACAGCTGTACAGAAGTTAAGGTCACTTACATAAATTTACATAAAGAAAATTGTGCAGAACATATCGATAAGAAAATGTTTTTCATACATATATATTAAATTTTACATATTCCTCACAAAATTTCTAGTTTTATCACTAATATTATATACAATTTTGATTATAATTTTATATCTAGAGTTCACCTTTGCCACTAAACGTTATGACAAAGGAGGTTTTGATTATTCATTATTTTAATTCTATCCAATCAAATAGTAAAAAATTAAGCAATTAGGTAAGCTTCATTAATGATAAATAAATTGAATTTATTTATATTAAAAAAAAACAAATCAGAAGCATGACATAATATAATATAATTTGAGATTGAGTCGTTCTTTTTATTGTTGTTGTTGTATATATTATGTTACGTGACACTAATTCTCTAGCTATCCAAAAGAGAAAAAGTAAAACAAAGATTAAGAAAATGCTTAGGATTTAACTTGATAAGTTTAACAGGTCAATTAATGTACTAATTAATTAGCGATGGCAACTTGTATTGGACAACAACTCCTAGTATGTCGGCAAAGCTGATTTAGCACGTAGTTTCACACCTTTTAAGATTTTTGAATATACTTCTGCGATTCTACGTTGTTAATGTTATTAAAAATAGTTATTTTTAATTTTTTATAATCAATGCTTTTGAAAGCGTAAGAATGTTTCTAAAAAATAATAAATTAGAAAAATTGTTTTTTCTTATTTATAATTACGTAAAAGATACAAAAAGAAAAAAATAAATAACTAATATGACGCAAACAAAATAGTAAATACTTAGTTTTGAACTATTAATTGCATTGCTTAATGAAGTGAACAAGAAACAAGAAAGATCTCATGTTCAAATTTAACTAGGCAAAGAATATTAAGTATATCTTCCAATTTGCTCACGTTTAATTTTAGTAGGATAGAGTTATTTAAAACCTATTTTAGTCATATAACTTAAAGACTATTGAAATTATTAGCATTGAAAATTTGTAAACTTAATATTTAAAATTCAATTCTGAAACGTGTAAGTTGATTGAATACAAAATATCAACAATAATTATGGTCTAGTTTCACAGGCAATATGCTAGAGTTACAGATCTTACCTCTATCTCACCGAGACAAAAACATTAATATTTTTAAAAACTTTATATTTATAAAAAATTTCCAAAAAATAAAATCTTATTTATTACACTGATTTGTCCTGTGGTTTTGCTTAGTCAATATTTATCTATTTTTGACTCTTTAGACATTTTCTCAGTCAATAATCCAATCCTTACCCCCTATATAAATCCAACCTAAACATCTCAAATTTAATCATTTCAACACCAAAAAAGCTAAGATATATTTTTGTTCTTCATATCAACACCAACAAAAAAGTACAAAAATGGAGAAGGAAAAACCAAGCAAGCCAAAGAAAAACATGATTTTGAAATTTTTACCAAAAGCAGCAGCAGCAACCGTTATATTCCAAAACCACCCTTTTAGTCCAGGTAGAGATAAAAGATTACATCATAATCACAAAGGATTTTCTGGTCCAATTATATCTATAATTCCAGCTGAAGCGAGAATTAGAAAATCGAATAGCGAAACAAAGGAAGAAGAACCAACATCACCAAAAGTTTCGTGCATTGGTCAGATCAAACAGAGGAAGAAACTCAATAAACCCAGGAAAACGGAACGCCCAAAATCACTCGAAAAAAAATCATCCAATTTTAAAAATATCTTTCAAAGACGGAGAAAAACCGATGTTGATAAAAATGAAACAAATATGAGATGCGAGGTACAAAACAGAGCACCACCCTGTTTGAGTCAAATGAGGAAATATGCTAGTGGTCGTGAAGGTAATTTATCGAATTTCGATTGGAAAAACGTGCAGATTACACCTGATGATCATCGGAAATATTACTCCGATGATGATAGAGATGATTATCATGAAGCTGAAGATGAAGATGAGGTAATAATTCCATTTTCAGCTCCAATTTTAATAGGAAGAGATAATAGACCAAATTTTACTTTGGAGCCAAAAAAGGAAATTAATTTATGGAAAAGAAGAACTATGACTAAACCAAATCCTCTTCAATTGAAGAAATAAGTTTTGTTTAGTTGATTTAAGCTTAGAATTAGTTTACAAATCATCATGTTGTAAACTATGATGCAAGTGTAACAATATTTTCAAAGAATTCAACTATTCAAGTAATATAGTTTAGTTTAACATGTTTTATTTTTATGAAATCCTGTATATATTTTTATGTTACGATTAAAGCTTGTTCATCTCATACTTAATGTACTTGTAAATAATTTTTGCTCGAATTTTTCAAAGATATAGAGACACGTGAATCTAAAAATAAAATAAAATCGTAATATAAAATTTTAAAAAATTTGAGAAATAAAAATGATAAATGAAATATATTATTTGAATCGAGTTTGGTGATAGAATTTCAGTTTGAACGAATACTTCGAGATAGAACTAAAAAAATTGTACTAACCTTGTGGTCACGTTCTTAATTCAAAATTGGAACAAAAAAAAGTCGTCTATTATCAATCCTAGTATTAAATAGGGAGAAAAAAATCAAAATTAGAACAACAATAAAAAGTCACCTAATATCACTCCCACTATTAAATGAAGAAAAAATGGACTAGAAAAAGGATTTTAAAAAATCTTATGGGGGGCATCAAATGGATTATGCAGCACACGATCCAAATATAATTAAAGTTTCACTGTAAATTTCAAATATCAAATAAAATAAAATATTATTTTAATTGGACACGTAATATTTTTGGTACACACAAGTAATTGATATATGTATGCTCACACTTCACATCTAACAACAAGTTTTGTTTGGTGGCAACTATTATTATGCAGTTTCTGGGTAGGGTCCAAATAAGCAGCCAAAATTGATTTTGGACCGTAGTTTTCAAAGATATTTCACATATTTTAATGTTGTACTGATAATTTGTTAGAGCATATTTTTGAATTTTTTTTAGTTTTTGTTTGGTGTATAAAATTTTTGCACGTTTAAAAATATACATTTACATGTAATTACTAAAGTTTTATATCCTTCATTTGTCCAAGATTGATAACAATCCTATGTATGATTTAATTGCGCTTTGTTTCTCTCGAGAATTATCTTTACTAGACTCACATTTATTCGTAAAATGAATATAATATGACTTTTTCTAAGGTTAAAATTTTAAAATATAATGTATTTTGACTATTTAGCATTCAAAACTTATTGATTCGATTAAGGAAATCCATATAGAAAAGTATGGCATACCAAACAAACATAATTTCATTTGTAATATCAAATTTGAGACTGACAATTAAAATCGAAGAAACATTTATCATTTTATCATATCTTAAATTGGTAAATGTTATAAAGTTTGATACGTATATATAATTATTATTAAGAAAAAGACGTTTATATTGATGTATATAAAGTCAATTACAATCTAATAGCTGCAGAATTTCGTAAGCATATTACGTAATGTGAACTAATAGACAAAATTTATATAACTCATGAATATATACTCTTATTATATAATTATATACAAGAAGGGTATGATATATATAAATTAAAAAAAAATTGAACCTTACATGTAATATAAGTAATGTAACGTGGAAGCAGCTACTACCATTTAATTGTTGCCTTCTGATTTACAATTCCTTTGATTTTTAAATAATAAATTAGAAAAAATAATATTGGTTGATTGTTTACGTTTACTTGGTTAACTCTTAATAATTATAAAACCAATACTGGCATTGACCTACTACAAGATTTTAATTTAAAATACGTCCGACTAGCTGTCAATTTCGTGTGGGTGATGTTCGTAAGGACGGATCTATAAAAATAGTTATAAATTCACGTGAATATATTGGATTATTCTTATATTTATAAATATTTGACTATAAAAAATATTATTATCATATATTATTAACTTAAAATCGTTATAATAGTGGAATGTATTATAAGTTGATAATTAAATTAAAGTGACATTGTCCATACGAATCTATAGTGCAGTTTTATGAATTTATATGTGTACACACATAATTGTAAATTATATTATTATTATTATTATTATTATCATTATATAATGTTAATTTAATATTATTATAGAAATACATAAATTTTATAATCCGTCTTTAATGTTAGGAATGGTGGGAGAAGAATAGAATCTAATTACAATTTTATGGGAAAATTTTGGGATAAGAGGAGAATATTGGATCTCGAAACAATTAGAACAAAGTTTTTAAAGGATTCTCCTATTGACCCGCTTCCATTATTATATTTGATTATTTAAACTTTGTAAGTAAAAAATAAAAATAAAAATATAGTTCAAAATTTATAAACTAAAAGTTCGAAATTCTCATATTATCAAAATTTCAACGAATCAATTTTTTTTATCTAGATTTAAGATTTTATCTAAGTGTTCTCGTAAGTCTAATATATAAAAAAAATTTGATCTCGAGGAAAATAAAAATATCGTTAATCAGATTGAAATAATGTATATTACACCTAATGACCTTAAAATAGATGGTCTTTTGACTCTCGTTTACCTCATAAGAAAACCTTCAACGTCGAAATTCAAAAAGTAAAAAAATTGTTATATTTGAAGTTTTATTCCTAGGACAAGTGAAATTAAAAGATTCACCATCGCTCACCTCAAAATCATTCTCGTAAATCACCCCTTTGATATTGCAAGTTAATTAATAAATAACACGAGATCCTTTAATTAATTAATTAGTCATTCCGTTTCATATTAATTAATTACTATTACTACTTACTATCAATTCATGTTCCTCTCTAATTAATATGATTAGTAAAAAAATCCAATACTTGATGTATCTAAATTTTCTTAATTACTATACCTGGAAGGTAAGTTACAAGTTCATTTAATTGCATTATTTATACTCCATATAACTTTCACATATACCATCACCAATAAATGAATATGTCAAGTGAAAACACAAAAAATAACTCTATTGTTCTAATTTGCTTCATTTCACTAATTGTATTTTCATGTTTTTTTGAGGTTTCTTATGCCATAAATTACATAAAATTTCTATCACCTCCAAATGTTGAGACTAAAAATCAACCAAAAATTCCAGCAAATCCTTATACAAGAGGCTGCAGTCCTTTAACTCGTTGTCGTGATGGTAATTTGAGCCACACTCCGGGTGATGGCACCTAATTCTCGAATCTCGAGTTCTAGCTCAGAGAAAGCAACGTTACAATAAATCAATAACAAACTTTTAATAATTTGTACTATTGAATTTGAAACTTTTTCGTTTATCAATAATTAAATCGACATCAGAAGTTGATTCTTGATTTATTTATTGATGGGTCTTTTTTTTTTAGATAAATCTTAAATCGACCCCTTATTTTTAGGGTTAGATTCAATATCATCTTTGTTCTTCTACATGAAGCATTAACGATCCTCCATGTTCATATACTAAATCGTGGACAAAATAAAACGTTAAAAATAAACAATAATTAGTAAAAGGACCAGAAATATATCAATATTACAAATATAAGGAACTATCAATGCATCGCTAATTTTTGTTAAAATTTTAACTAACCACAAATTGTTTTGAGACCAAGGGATAACAAATATTAGTCTCTATCAAAATTTCTACGGAATTCCTCGAAATTCGTACTACCTTAGGCTATTTTTACATATTAATAGAATTAAACATTTACAAGTAGTTAGTACAAATATTAACGAACTTTTAATATTCATATACACCAAATAACATATCGAAGAAATGGCTTCAACAAGTGGAAACGAAACCATTAATGTTGTTATTGTTCTTTGCTTCATTTTACTTATCGCATTTTCAAGTTCCGCAAAGGATGTTTCTGATAGTAAAAAACATATAAAGTTTCCACCAAACCAAAGTACTAGCGGTAAAAAATCACAAAATCCACCTAATCATTATCACAGAGGATGCAGTGCTATAAAACGTTGCCGCAAAGACGTGGATAGCCTAACCTAAAAGGTTGATTCATGTCATTATTTATATATATATTGAAAATGTAAGAAATATCATGCATGTGAAATAAACATGAGAAATTAATAAATCATTTGCTTCTTCGATTATACATGAATAATTGGTTTCTCCTCGATCTCTATAGTGACATACGCGTTCTTATAACCAAATTAGTCAATCAATTTCGATGTTTATTTTTTATTTTGGAAAGAAATTTAAATTTGCGCTCTTTATTCGACTACACATATCAAATTATATTTTCAAAATTTAATTATCGCGCAAGGTGAATGAATAATTATTAAGCCCACAAAAGTATCTGATTTAAGCGCCAAAAATTGAACGCCCCAAGTAAATTAAATCATCTGATGGAAAAAAAAAGTAAAAACAATTAATTTTTTTCTTTATCTTCTTTTATTTCAAATGGATTTATAAACTACATTCAAATATAGGAAGTTATTGGCATTCTACTTTAAAAAATGTACTCCAAATGTATGATATTACTTTTGATATTCTACTTATTGGTAAAAAAAATTAAAATAGCATCGCTAAAGATTAGAATGTGAAAAAATATTAGGTTAACTTTGACTATTCCTTAAAAGATCACCTAAGTATTTGTAAATGATAGAAATAGGTTGAGTCGGATTGAGAATTTGTGAATGATAGAGATACATGTAGTCGATGTTGGACTGAGAAATTGTGAATAATACGAGTAGGTCGAGTCGGATTGAGAATTTGTGTATAATACGTGTAGGTCGAGTCGAGAATCTGTGGATGATAAAGATACGCGTAGATCCAGTCGGATGGAGAGTTTTTGAATGATAAAGATAAGTGAATTTTTGAATGATAAAGATACGTGTAGGTTGATTCGGATTGAGAATTTGTGAATAATACGTGTAGGTCGAGTCGGATTGAAAATTTGTGAATGATATAAGTTAAAGAATGATATAAGTTAAAGAGTTCTCAAAATATTTTATTTCTATTGTAGAATATACGCTCTTTTACTTGCACTAGCTATTTTTCTTTCAGACGCATATTTTCTTATCATTTTAACATACATTGGTAATAAAATAAGGTTTCAATACAAAAACTAAAGCTAGCAACATCGAATAGATTAAATTTTGAATAATATAGATCTTTAAAATTTTAAATCAACCTCTATTTTTTAGTACCAAAATTTTGACGATCCACAAAACATTATGAGAAAAGGGAATAAAAAATATCTTTATCCAAATAAATATCAATGGAATTCCTCAAAATTCGTACTACCTTAGGCTATTTTTACATATT